TGAAACATGATTACTGTCGCATTGTGTCCTCTGGCTAACCATCCCCTCCCCTTTTTTGGGGTTGAAAGGTTACAGATGACATCATATAATATCTTATGGAATATTTTGTATAAATGATAAACATCGTTTTTAAAATCTTGAGTCACATCACCAAAGCGTCTTTGTTTCTTTTTTTAGGTTGTTTAAGTTTTGAAGTTCTAGTTAAATTATTTTTTTCTCCAGTTTATTTAATTTTTTTTATTTGCTCACTGGCATTGAAGAGTAACTCCAAGAGAGACGGGTAGATCTGCTTTTACGAGAAAATACAGTTTTAATTTCGAATGGCGTTTCACTTTTTATGAATGCCAAGGTGTTTAATAAACTACCAACATTCTACAAAAAAAACTACCAACATTCTACAACAAACTACAACATTCTACAACAAACTAAAAACATTCTACAACAAACTACAAACATTTTACAACAAACTACAAACATTTTACAACAAACTACAAACATTCTACAACAAACCACAAAGTAATTTTTTGATTAACAAACCCCCGAACTTTGTTGTAAAAACATAAACATTGCTGTGAACGAATCGTAAAAATTTGTGTCAACAAACCATGAACATTGTTGTCAACAAACCATGAACATTGTTGTCAACAAACCATGAACATTGTTGTCAACAAACCATGAACACTGTGGTCAACAAACCATGAACATTGTTGTCAACAAACCATGAACATTGTTGTCAACAAACCATGAACATTGTTGTCAACAAACCATGAACATTGTTGTCAACAAACCATGAACATTATTTTGAAGAAACCATGAACATTGTTGTCAACAAACCATGAACAATGTTGTCAACAAACCATGAACATTATTTTGAACAAACCATGAACATTGCTGTCAACAAACCATGAACATTGTTGTCAACAAACCATGAACATTATTTTGAACAAACCATGAACATTGCTGTCAACAAACCATGAACATTGTTGCAAACGAACACTTGAGAACCCTACTGTAACATTCCCATTCACCAGGTTTTACATAATAATTATGAGTTCTCAACATGCCCAGTGCGGGGCCCTATGTAGTTTATTTTAATAACCAAGTTCATTTGGAGGAGGGGGTGGGGCTATGTGGATAATGGGATTAGGTGGCGGGAGACCCGACTGTTTAATGAATTGTGTAATTTGATTACTGTGTAATGACGCGTAAGGAGTTTATGCGTAGAGACGACGATCACTGTGTAATGATTTTTTTTCAGTCCACATAATTGACACACACACCATATCATGTGGGGTTTGTTTTGGATCTCGACACACGCGTCGTAGTGCGTCACGACACATCCCGTCGGCACGACTGAACACTCAACACGGGTCGTCGATCCCTGCGTTGATCGATCACACCGATCAGCTCGATCGAACCCTATCTATCAGGTGGGTGAAGCCTTGTGGGGCGCGAGGTGGGAAGTTTTTTCTGGCACGAGCTCAGGATATCGATTAATCGATTTATTGATTCGCGAGGTGGCTGATTTAAACCGGCAACACTTTCAAAGAAGGGGTGGGGTGGGGTAAAGGTGTTGTCCTCCTGTTACCCAGTAGCAACGCCGTACGTTTGCTGGGGTACTTGTAAGCTTCGTGGTAACGGACGTTCAGACGTGTTGCGTTGTGTTGTGTTGTGTTAAAGGTAAGCGTTTTAACAAAATAATAGTTGTTTTTTTTTTTGTTTTTTTGTTTATTAATTTAAAAAAATATGTAACCGTTGATACGGAAGGGGGCCAGTAATTGAAGTAAACACAAACCCATTGCCGTAAACATTGACGTTCTTTCGTGGGTAACTCAAAGAGAGAGTCTTTAACGTGCGTCTGAAAGAAAACAATTATATGTATATCAAGAAATCACGAAGTACTGTAATGGATTCATGTTGAATGCCAGATTGAATCCAAGCGCTCCCCCCAAAACAGTTGAGCTGCGGGCCACAAAGTGTTACAACACGGCCCGCTCAGAAAGTTGAGCATCATGTTTATATTCGATGTGTGGATGGACGCCCCCCTCCCCCAAATGACCCCCCCCCCACCCATCCTCCTGGGCCCTGCAAATGTAATTTGTACCTGTAATTGTAATTTAATTGAAAACTAAATTACGGGAAATTTAATTGAAAACTAAAATTCGGTATTACTACTATTATTGCGACGTATTTTAAGTTAACATAGTGTAGTATGGCTTTATGTTAGTTTATACAAGAGTTGAGAACCTTTGAAATACATTCAGAGAAATAAATCACAAAAGAAAGAATCAAAACTGAATCTTTGGTCTCCCGGATAACAGTAAAAGATATGTTTAATTGTATTGTTTACATTCATTGATGACGTCATCAAATTATGTGTTCATTTCAACACTATCCACACTCAACAGGAAGTTTGAGGGGAAGTAAAGCCCACAGAAGAAGAGGAAAAAAATACCGACGATTGTCTTTCTCTAAAAACAAAAAGGCGAAGAACAATCCATCGGTTCCATCTCAGCACTGCGTGTACATAAAACATCTGGGCATTTAGAAACATCGTAGAGGAAGCAAGATGTCAGGATTCCTCTCACAGGCCTACCCACCACCCCAAGACACGCCCACGAGATTAGAGGAGCGGCCCCCCATCGCCCGGAACGGCGGATCCTTCATGGCCACGCAGAAGGGGTGGCCGCCCTTCGTCCCGGGCTACTTCGGGCCCTTCTCCCTCCCGCCGCGCCGGAAGTCAGCCATCCTGGACCTCAAGGACAAACGCTGCGGCACCGACGCCAAGGAACCGGGCAACCCGAGGTGGGCGGAGGGCTCCTGGCCCCTCCCCTACCACACGCTGTACTTTGACCCCCAGGTCCAGGGCGACTGGATTCACTTCGAGAGGTTCATGCCCCCGGGTCAGATGGTCAGGCGCCGCTGGCCCCAGGAGCCCCTGGAGGAATTCCGCTTCCCGGAGAGGGAAATCGCCAGCCCGGAGTTCCTGAACCGGAAGAACTACCGCGGGTACCACTACATCAACAACTACACGACGAGGAAGATCGTTGGGGACCCCGGGGCCCCTTGGAACAAGAAAGGAGAGTTCGCCTACCAGTCGTGGGCCACCATCGTTCCGAATGTGGACATCTAAGCGGAACCGAAGTTGTTGGGTTTTCGGGTGTCTTTTTACATCATGGATAAGGATCATGGATACTTGGATGGCTACAAATATCATGTTTAAACTAAAAGAATCTGGCCGTGTGATATGGTACAGGACGAATAAGTTATTGCAGTGTTTAATAAATTAACTTCATCAGCAAAATGGCGTGTATTTTTAAAGTCTTTTTGACACGGCTTTATAATAGCTGTGTTACTGCCGGTAGTCAGTTTAAAGGGAAAGCATCCGGGCAGTTGAAAGGGGAAACAATCCTGTTTTAAAAAAAATAATTAAAAAGTTAAGAGCAGTTTCTATCAAAACAGCCGAGCGCTAGAAATTATAACCTCATGACGTCATTTCATTTCAATGTAATGTGCAGTCTCTTCAATTATATTAATGTTATGTTCTATGTTCAACTTTTGTGTGTTACATTTCTATTACTTTAGGTGAAATTTGAATAAGATTCGTGTTACATTTGCATTACAGTTACTCTCTTTTTGTTTTACACCATGTTATATTTTAGCCACATGTGCATTAAAATTAAAGTACATTATGTGTTTGATTTTGGTATTCGCCTGTTACATTTGCGTTACAATCATGTAACTGTGGAGGACTGGTACGGCTATCCGGCTTCCAAAGAGCCAAGTCGGCCCTGGACCAATTTGGGTCTCTCTTCAACATGACACAATGTTTGAAGAAAACAAAAAATCACTAAGGACCAATTGATGGGTTGAAAACATTTATAAAATAAAAAATCTTTCTGGCCTGAGCACAAATGCTGTAATGCACACCGTGTATTAGAACCATGAATTCCTATTGTGGGCATAGGTTGTAAAGAGACATACGGAATGAACCCTTGTAGGTAATTGCTAAAACGGGTACACAGTCACATTGTAACATTACCCAGGCTAACTTTATAAATGTATATATATGTATATATCTACCGGTATGTTGAATACTGTAAAACTTTAATTTTTTTTAACTTAAACTAAAAAATTTCAGTCACCTTATCCTTATTCCGTCAAACAAAAATTTAAATCATTGACAATTTCATTGGAGAGTAACTACGACAAATATTTTGATTGGATGCCAAATTTTTTTCCGATTTTTTTTTTTTTTTTAAATTCCCTTATTTCAAAAAAGTTTTATGAAGGGGTTATTAGAAAAACATAACTAAGTCATTTTTTAACTGTTTGGAATTTAAACTTGAGTGTGTGTCAACTAGAAGTACCTACATTTTTTTTAATATTTAAGTTAATCCCCCCCCCCCTCTTTGCAGGCATGAACGATTTTTAAAGGAATGAAAAAGGGGATTAGCTTACTTTTTTTTTTCCCCTTGGGTCGCCAGGTTTGTTGTGCATAAAAGTTTTTTCATAATGTTTTTAAAGGGGTTATTAGAAAAACATAACTAAGTCATTTTTTAACTGTTTGGAATTTAAACTTGAGTGTGTGTCAACTAGAAGTACCTACATTTTTTTTAATATTTAAGTTAATCCCCCCCCCCCTTTGCAGGCATGAACGATATTTAAAGGAATGAAAAAGGGGATTAGCTTACTTTTTTTTTCCCGCTAGGTCGCCAGGTTTGTTGTGCATAAAAGATTTTTCATAATGTTTTTGTAACAAATAATTTAATTCTTTCAGTTTAAGCTAATCATGTATTCTAAAATTTATAACAATATATTTCATAACTAAAGCATTTTTATTTTGGCTCATTTGTTTTTTTATTATTAAACTTATAGAGAAAGTCCAATGAAGATTTTTTTTTTTTTTTTTTTTTTTTTTTTTTTTTAATTTATTGATATGTTAAGAATAAATAAATGTTACTGATTTATTAAGTAAGAATGTTACAGCCCTCGCTGCGGCATCGGTTGCGCTTCCTAGCTTCTGACCGCGGTTTTGTTGGCGTGTCCCTGGAAGGGCGTGTCCGTGAAGCCGTAGTTGATGAGTCGGCCGGCGTGGAAGAGCTCTCCGGTCTCGAGGAGGTTGGGGATGCCGGTGTCCGCCGGGATGGGCATCACGCGGCACCTCCGGTACAGCGGGTCCGTGCTCACCTGCTTGGCTGGCCTGCGCATGCGCACGACGTTGTAGAAATCCCAGTGGCTGGTCGGGGCCGCGGGCAGGTGGCAGTAGAGGGTGTGGTTGGCTTCAAGTTCCCTCGTGATCTGTCGAGGACACAACTGTCTTGTCATTTACAAGTCTTGTGTGAATAACACACGAATCTTTATCAATATGTGTTGTGTGAATAGCACGTGGTACAGAATCTACAATTGTTGTGTAGATACCACGAGCTACAGAATCTACAACTATTGCATGAATACCACGAGCTACAGAATCTACACCTATTGTGTGAATAGCACGTGTTACAGAATATATAATTATCGTGTGAAAGCACGTTGTTCAGAAAATACAATTATCGTGTGAATAGCACAAGAACAGAATCTGCAAGGGACGAACCGTCGTAGTCTATTAAACGAACATATCACATGGTTCGTAATATGACGTCACTAAGACTTGCATACCGAGTTCCATCACAGCCTTATCAAGATCATATTTTTAAAAAAAAATTTTTGGGTGTTAATTCTGCTCTTTCCAACGACCACCACAACCACAATATTTATCAATAATTATAAAATGAAAGAATTACATTCCGTTACATTTGCCACGTTTGTCAATTAATAGACATTATTATCGAACACATCCTGTCCACTTGGCACCACTGAAGCCATTACTGTCGGACACATCCTGTCCACTTGGAGCCACTGAGAGCCATTATTATCGGACACATCCTGTCCACTTGGAGCCATTGAGAGCCATTACTGTCGGACACATCCTGTCCACTCGGAGCCACTGAAGCCATTACTGTTGGACACATCCTGTCCACTTGGAGCCATTGAGAGCCATGCCAACATGCGCACATTTTAAACGTTAACAATTCACCAAAGCGCACATTTAAGATACACACTTTGATAGATTGATTCTTTAAAAAAAAAAAAATAATTTACACGTTGAGCAGAAGCCACTTAACATTACATCAATTATTTAACATTATATCTGTCAATGGGTGACAGCTCTTCGGTGACGTAATATTACTTCTGCCAGAGAGGAAACTCTGTCCTTTGAATGAAAATTCCTCAGTAACATGACATTACCTCTGCCATTGGAACACGTTGCATATGCCAATGGAGCAGATGTATCTCTGTCAATGGATCAACATTACCTCTGTCACTGGGTCACAATGCCGCTGATACATGGCATTACCTCTGCTAGTGGGTAAAATTAACTTTTTCATCGAATGAAAATTACTTAGTTGCATGACATTACCTCAATAAATGGACAACCTTACCTCTGTCAGTGGACGACATTACCCCTGTAATTGGGTGACATTACCTCACTAAATGGACAACCTTACCCCTGTCAGTGGCCGACCTTACCTCTGTCAGTGGCCGACCTTACCTCTGTCAGTGGCCGACCTTACCTCTGTCAGTGGCCGACCTTACCTCTGTCAGTGGCCGACCTTACCTCTGTCAGTGGACGACCTTACCTCTGTCAGTGGACGACCTTACTTCTGTCAGTGGCCGACCTTACCTCTGTCAGTGGACGACCTTACCTCTGTCAGTGGACGACCGATCCAGTCCTTGTAGCGATAGTTTGGAGTGTACTCGTTACCCAAATGCTCCATGAAGCCGATCATGGTGTGAGAACCGTCCACCAGCTCCCGGCATCTGGTCAGCTCTTCTGGGACCTGGACCCCCAGGGGGTCATCGGGTAAATACTGGGCGCCGCGGTAATGCTTGTCCAGCAGTGGGAGGGGGGTCTGCTCGTAGAGCTTGTTTAGGGAGGAATACAATGGATGGACACGTTGAATGTCTACATGGATTAATAAATGACAGTTTGTAATGGATGGATACCATATGTAATTGTTGGATAACACGGAACATATGGATAATTAAGCATTTTTAAAATGAAATAATGCATACCCCTTCATTCTGGATGAATGGATGATATAAGCGAATGCATTGGATAAAGAATGGTTTGTTGCAATAAATGGACGTGGTTGATATGATTGATTGAATTGGCTGGATAGGAATGAATGGATAGGGTGAATAGTGTATAAATGGATGTTGTGGAATATGGTGGATAATGAATGGATGTGATGGATTGGGAATAAATGGCCGCGCTGGCTAGCGAATGAATTGATGTGCTAGATATCATTTACTGTGTCTGGTATTTACATTTTATATTTATGGGGGGGGGGGGGGGGGGGGTGGCGGGTGCAGGTTGCCAACCATCTATCTGAGCGAGGACAACTTTATTGTGAATTAAATCTCTTAATAAAATGTTTTCTTAGCGGCTGCCGGGTTGGAATTTTTCTTAATGGATTAATATGGATAATTAAAATTTTAAATGTTTCATAATGAAAAGAGACGCATTGATTTATGCAGAGTACGGCATGCGGTTATAGAGCCGCAGATTTCCGACCGCTTGAGTTATTGCATGACGTTTTGAGGACCGGATTTGTACCGCAGGCTGCGAGGTTCTGTGTATAAAAGAAGACACGTAATGAAGAACGAACTAAGACGAACGATCATGTGTCCAACAAAAAAAAAAATGGCCAGTGGAAACGATGGTCCCGAGTCTCTTCTGTGGGACCACTGATCTTGAAACCGTCCCCTCTTGGGTCTTCCTGGCCCGTCAAACATATTAGCGTCCAAATATAATATTAATAATAATAATAATAAAGTTCATTTCAAAAACACGCTTCATCCCCAAAGGCTCGAAGCGCGGTACAAAGTCAACAAAATACAAATCTATAATTTACCACATTTAAAACAAACGCAACACTACAAAAACTAATTACAAACATACAATGTCAAAGTCTTTCTAGCCATTTCAACCATACGCAGCACAGCCATTATGCATTAACTGGAAAATAAGGTAGACAATCATCCCAGAAGGTATTTGCGGAATAGATGTGTCTTTAGATCGGTTTTAAAGGACTCCAGTGTCTGGTTGTTTCTAAGATCGACAGGAAGGGCGTTCCAAATTGTTGGACCAGCAAATGCGAAAGTGCGCTTTCCGTAAGTCTCAAGGCAAACACGTGGTGTCGAGAGTTTGCCACTATTGGAAGGATTATTTAATTTTTTTTAAACGTACACATTTAAAGTTCATATGTTAACTACATCTTATATAATGGACATTTATGTATTTGATATAACTTATATAGTGCATATTCCTGTGTTTGATATAACTTATATATTGGATATTCCTGTGTTTGATATCACTTATATAGTGGATATTCTTGTGTTTGATCAAACTTATGTAGGCGATAGTCCTGTGTTTCATGTACCTTATATAATGGGTGTTCGGGTGGCTTCGGGGCATATCGCTGGGTCTCACACTGTGACCAGTCCCGCCTCTTGGTGTCCTCAATGGGTGGGAGTAGGCCCCGGTAGTTACTGCAGTAAGCGTACTGATATTCGGTTCCCGGCGGCCAGCTGACGGGCCGGTGGTCCCGCTCGAAGTCCCGGGTGCACAGTCCGTACAGGGGCGCATTCCTTACAAAGCGCGCATACCTGGTTGGAAAAAAGGGGGGGGGGATAGAGACACTACAATGAGTAAAAATCATAATCATAAGTCAAATAAAGACTTTTGATATAAGACGTAAAAGTGTTTAAAATGTGTTTAAAATGTGTTGAAGTCAGGGGTGAAACTTAAAAAAGAGTTTGGTGTTAAATGTCGCCGTTCTTTGTCTTTGGGTGCCTGGGTAAATTGTGTTTAAAAGTCGTGGCGGAGTTCTCAGTAAATGTCGTGTTACATTGTCATTGGATGTCTTAGTGCTACACCATTTTATTAATAATGTTATTATTATTATTATTATGATTATTATAAGTGGTCTCATATAGCGTGGTTCCACAGACTAGGGCTGGGCTCACCACGCTGTACATACATTTTACCAAACATAATCATGAACTTAGAAATTAATTAACGTCCATTAATTAAATAAAACAAAACAAATGTATATTGAAAACTATTTACACGTCAAGCCGTGGAAGACACCCAGCAGCATCGTTACATTACAGTGAGATGACGTGGTGCTTTGTCGTTTAAAAACAATTGGTGAATGAATAGGAAATGAGTAGAACAAAGTAAGGCTAAACGTGAAAAAGGAAACGCAACAAAACAACAGGGCAAGGCGGGCTTCACAATTAATGCGACCGTTTCTAGCGTGAACACACCCAGTCGGGTGAATGTGTGACCTAAGCTTATCCTGACATGTGGCACCTTGACACCGCATGGCATGAACGTCGTGTCTCTGATCACAGCTTAAGCCTAGCCCCCACCCCTCCACGTCACAGTGGACAGACTTCTCCTCTTTTCTTTCCCTCTTCCCTATTTAATCCTCACCCACTTATTTTCTGTCACAATTCTTTTGCTGCCCTCTCGGACACTACTTCCCAGTTAAGTGCTATATTTATATACATTTTTAAATATTTTATTCTGTTTTTTTATGTAGTTTGTTCGCTAACGAAGACTTCCTGCCGACACGTTGGTTGATTTGTTGCGTTCCTTTTTCGGGTTTAATCTTACTTTGTTTTACTTATTTCCTATGTTGGCAACCAGAATGCAGTCTCTCCCCCTCCCACTATACCATGGTAAATTAAATACTGTGATAAATACCATGATAAATGAAGTACCGTGTGCCGTGTTAAATATTTTGGTAAATGAAGTACTGTGGTAAATACCATGATAAATGAAGTACTTCACTGAATATTATCAACTTAAGTGTCATATAATAAACAAATACAGGCGACTGGGCCTGGTGTTTATTCACGTGATCAGCTCTGACGTCCCCTGGCTGGTGTATCTGCCCCGTGGCCGTGGCCAGCCAGCACCCACCTCTTGTGTTCGCCCGGCTCCTCTGACGGCTTGTTCTTCTCCACCATAAAGAGAGCTTTGGCGTTGGGGTGCCTCCAATCCATGGCCGACGGTAAATGTGACGCCGCCTACGCGTACAGCAGACTTGGTAGAGTCAGCCCAACAGGTGTCTGTGTCGCAAAAATGCCATTAATTCCCTGGATTACAAATTGCCTCTCAAAGCGAAACCTGGATTTCTTTACACTTTTTATAAAAAAATCCCTGTTCTAATAATAATGTCATTAAACGTGGGGTTTTTTTTCGTTAATTTTTTTTACCGCAGAAATGACGTTATTTCCGAACGTATTTTCTCTTACGTATATTCTCTGGCGTATAACTAAATATATTGCTAAAAAAAAAATCTCACGACACGTTAGAGCAGATGTCTCTTGTCTTCTGCTGATTCACGAGCAGCGTTTATGGTCATAGTTCTCAAATTTAAGACTGATGATTCTCAGCGAGCATCCCTCTCTTCCTTGTAAACACGATACGTCTTAGACTAGATCACTTGCATTAGGATTTTTTTTTTTTAAATTAGCGCAGGAAAAATTTGTTTTTTCCTCCAGAAACGGGCCAATCAGAAATGATGATAGGTAATGTTAATAATTATCGACCAATCCAACAGCGATTAACAAGCGTCGGGTTTGGAGGAAACAATGGATGAACTTCCGCTCTCTAAGCATCGTGGTGCTAATTGGTGCTGTGTTTTGAATGGAGTCCAAAAAAAAAAAAAAAAAAAAAAACACAGCAGATTTAGGACATGGAGTTTTCTGTAAGGGTTCTGTTTAATGACGGGGAATTGATGCTTGTTTCTTTACCACCGTAGGCGTAAAAAGACACCAGATTTCGGAGTAAATGATGGTAAAAAGCACCTCTGACTTGTCATTGGAGGTCTCTATGACGGTGTTTTTGGTACACTAATAGTGTATTATGCTTAAGCCCGCGTATTGATGGCGACCGCAAAGTTATTTACACTCAAATAATACACTATATAATAAGAGTCGCAATTGGTTCCCCCTTCCCAATTTTCCCCCCAAGTTCGCCGTCACGCAATTTTTCACGCCTCTGAACTATATTTATATTCTTATGTCCTACTGACGTTCATACCGCCAGATTTATAACACCTTTTTTTAAATTGAGACTAGTTCCAGAAACACAAGAAAATAGTACGCACCAAACGCACGTGCGGTATTTTTTTAAAAACAATCCCATTTAGCGCAGTTATCGGAAATTTTGTTTATCGAAATCAGTGCTGCCATCTGGTAGATTTAGTGGCATTGTTACATAGAGAATTGTGCATTTTTATGATTGAAGTTTAGATTTGTGCTATAAATCTAATCTCATCGGGTGTACTCGCTGTGTTCGTCACACAATGTGGTCCTACTAAATTATGGAATATTACTTTACATGCAATTTCCCGTTCCCATGGGGACTTCATATCAAGAAAATGGCGATTGTTTCAGATTACTGGTGACGTCCCGGACAACCAATACTGATACCAACTGAAACTTTAACAAAAAAATATTTAAAAAATTAACAGACGTATCCCAATCACGTGACTTGTGAAGTTCAAGGACTGACGTGTGCCGCACCACTGGTTGCCAAGGCGATGGCTTACCTCAATGCCACGACGCTCCACGCACTTCCGGTGAACCACGAACGACGACCGCTGGAGCCGACCCCGGTGCTGTTCTCCATGGGGCCCTCGTGGACGCAGCGCCACCCGACCTTTGACCGCCTGGACGACCGGTTCATGTACAAGGACCAGGGCCCCCCGATGTATCGCCTGCTGGGGGCCCACTACAACGTGTTCGGCGCCCCGCCGAGGACGGACTACCACACTTCTGCTCAATCGCACCACTTCGAGCCCAGGCCGAGCGCCGTGCCCAGCCTCAGGTAAGAGGATACCTTCAAGTGACCTTGAAATGGTTGTCCTTTTTTTTTTTTTATCGCTCAGGTTATTGTGCACTACATAGCCATGGGGGAGGGGGGTTATCAATCCAAAATACGCTCTCCATGGTTTGGACCTCAATATTCTCTGTACTGCAATGGTGTCCACGGCGCTGATTTCATCCACCGAGAGACGCCATTGTTTTCATTGTTTTAGATATCAGCTTTAAACTTGATTTTTCTCTTGGCCTTTCTCTCTCTCTCTCTCTCTCTATCTATCTATCTCACTCTTTCACTTTCTTTCTCTCTGCATATCACTCGTATTCTCTCTCTCTCTCTCTCTCTCTCTCTCTCTCCATGTCTTCTCCCTAATTTCATTCTCATTCTGTCTCTTTCAACAATTATCTCTCTTTCTCTCCGATTCTCTCTCTCTCTCTCTCTTTCTCCAATCTCTCTCATTCTCCTTCTCTATCTCTCTTTCTCCCCCCCCTCTTTCTCTCTCTTTCTCCGTCTGTTTCTCTTTCACTCTTCTCTCCTGCCTCCCCTCTCACCCTCTCTCTCTCTCTCTCTTTATCATTATCTCTTTCTCCCTCTCTCTCTCTCTATATAACCCTCTCTATGTCCCCCTCTTTCTTTATCATCCTCTCCATCTCCCTCTCTGTCTCTTTATTATTCTCTCTATCTCCCTCTCTCTAATTATCATCATCTTTACCCCCCCCCCCTCTCTCTCCCTCTTTCACTCTCCGTTGTATTTCTTTATCCTCCTCTCCATCTCCCTCTCTGTCTCTTTATTATTCTCTCTATCTCCCTCTCTCTAATTATCATCATCTTTACCCCCCCCCCTCTCTCTCCCTCTTTCACTCTCCGTTGTATAATTGTTAATGCTATTCAATACAATTAATAAGCCTATGTTGAAACGGCTAACTGGTTACCTCTGTGTTTGTGTATGACAGAAATGGCGCCCTGACCTTCCCCCCGGGCCCGCCCCCCGCCCAAGTCGCCATGTTTGACGGTCTGAACACGACCCCAGCAAAGTTCTTGGTAAGCCATGACACATTTATGTAATGACGAGTTGGGCACTATGAAACTGTGGAACTGTGCTGTACTGTAATTTTAACAGATCATCTTTTCACTACAGTAACATAGATAATATAATGTTGTTGTTTTTGTAAAAGATAATATGGGCATTATTGTAATGGATAATATCGGAAATATTGTAAAAAAATAATATGCGCGATATTTTAATCTATAATATGGGCAATATTTTAACAGATAATATCGGTAATATTTTAATAGATAATATGGGCAATATTTAATAGATAATATGGGCAATATTTTAAAAGATAATATAGGCAATATTTAATAGATAATATGGGCAATATTTTAAAAGAAAATATGGCAATATTTAATAGATAATATGGGAAATATTTTAATAGATAATATGGTCAAAATTTAATAGATAATATGGCAATATTTTAATAGATAATATGGGCAATATTTAATAGATAATATGGCAATATTTAATAGATAATATGGCAATATTTAATAGATAATATGGCAATATTTAATAGATAAAATGGGAAATATTTTAATAGATAATATGGGCAATATTTAATAGATAATATGGGCAATATTTTAATAGATAATATGGGCGATATTTAATAGATAATATGGGCAATATTTAATAGATAATATGGGCGATATTTTAATAGATAATATGGCAATATTTAATAGATAATATGGGCAATATTTTAATATATAATATGGGCAATATTTTAATAGATAATATGGGCAATATTTAAAAGATAATATGGGCAATATTTTAATAGATAATATGGGCGATATTAAATAGATAATAAGGGAAATATTTTAATAGATAATATGGGCAATATTTTTATAGATATTATGGGCAATATTTTAATAGATAATATGGGCAATATTTAATAGATAATATGGGCGATATTTAATAGATAATATGGGCGATATTTAATAGATAATATGGGAAATATTTTAATAGATAATATGGGCAATATTTTTATAGATAATATGGGCAATATTTAATAGATAATATGGGCAATATTTTAATAGATAATATGGGCAATATTTTAATAGACAATATGGCAATATTTTAATAGATAATATGGGCAATATTTTAATAGATGATATGGGCGATATTTAATAGATAATATGGGCAATATTTTACTATATAATATGGGCAATATTTTAATAGATAATATGGGAAATATTTTAATAGATAATATGGGCAATATTTAATAGATAATATGGGCAATATTTTAATAGATAATATGGGCAATATTTTAATAGATAATATGAGCAATATTTTAATAGATAATATGGGCGATATTTAATAGATAATATGGGAAATATTTTAATAGATAATATGGGCAATATTTTTATAGATAATATGGGCAATATTTTAATAGATAATATGGGCAATATTTTAATAGATAATATGGGCAATATTTTAATAGATAATATGGGCAATATTTTAATTGATAATATGGGTAATATTTTAAAAGATTACATCCGAAATTTCATAAAAGATAACATTGCAATAGATAATATCGCTAATTTAATCAGATAATATCGCTAATTTAATAAGATAATATCGCTAATTTAATAAGATAATATCGCTAATTTAATAAGATAATATCGCTAATTTAATAAGATAATATCGCTAATTTAATAAGATAATATCGCTAATTTAATAAGATAATATTGGCAATATTGTAAAGGATATTATCAATTTGATTTCGGGACAAAGATTTCGACATTCATGATCACGTTGTCACACTGACGTGACTCTCATCACGGAAATGATCTGTGGCTATATTGTCACATCCCGTTTGAAGAGAAAAAAGGGGGGGGGGCGGAGGTGTGATAGAGTGCGGTGGGGTGGGGGGAGGGGGATTTGAGGGGAAGGGAAAGATGAGATGGGTACGAAAAAAACTGAGAGCTTATTCGCCTAAGGGTGTATGTTACCTGTTGGTGTATGTTCCTGTGGGTGTATGTTACATGTGGGTCTATGTTACCTGTGGGTGTATGTTAGTAGCACTGACTAGTTATGGTTACTGGCTAGTTACGATCACGTGACATGCTCGACTGCCGCCGTGTTTCACCAAAATGGTACGATGTCATCACGGATGTGTGTGTGTGCGTGTGTGTGTGTGTGTGTGTGTGTGTTACCAACTCCTCGCTTCAATGCGTCACGCTACTGTTCGCTCCACAGACCAAGACGAAGGGAGACATGGACTTTAAGAAAGAGGACAGTTTCATGGCGTGGGACAAGTACCGCTACCTACCCGGTCCACCGTCCGAGGCCCAGATCTACAACGTGTCGTCTTGATGGACTGCAATCGACCTTTTAACCGCACTGCTGGGCAGATTACTGGACAGCTTGTGTTGACATTGTGTTCGACGGTGTGGCCTCTCATAGATCTCGTTGGTTTGTTTGTGTGTGTATGGTGTGGATGCTTGGTGTTACTGCAAACGACCACATTCATCGGCCGACTAGTTTCGCTTTGTTCTTCTCGTTGATTGTTGGACATGTGTGACCGTCGCTGACAAATGTATCATGTTAAAATGTCCTCCAATAAAATGTAGCATGTGATTGTCCTGTAATAAAATGCAACATGTATTAGTGATTTAGTATTTGGTTGATTTCTTTTAAAACGGTAAACCCCGTTGGGATTGGTCAATGTTGCCAGTGGCGTAACTTAAGGAGGCGAATCAACCTTAAATGTCGTGTTTAGCTTTGAGTTTCAGCTAGTGATTTATGTTCATGTGAATTAAACTACCCATCAAAAGAAAGTTTTTCGCATAAATCATTTATTAAAAGTAATATCGAGTGTGTGTGTGTGTGTGGGGGGGGGGGCTGAAATTTTATTAAACATGTTGCTACGCACTGCTGTCCATAGGGAGAAATTAATCTGTTATTTTAAGTTTATGGCTCTTTCTAAACGGTGCAGACGACACCATATGGGACATACACTAACAACGGAATACGACACTTAAAACAGGGGCGACTACAATTAATACGTTTTTATTAAGTAACTCATCAATTACAAAATAAAAGAAATATAATTAAATGCATTTAACTGACAGTGAACTTTTTTTCTTGTACCGGTACACAGTAGATGATAATACAGTAGATGATAATACAGTAGATGATAATACAGTAGATGATAATTACAGTAGATGATAATACAGTAGATGATAATACAGTAGATGATAATACAGTAGATGATAATACAGTAGATGATAATTACAGTAGATGATAATTACAGTAGATGATAATACAGTAGATGATAATACAGTAGATGATAATACAGTAGATGATAATTACAGTAGATGATAATACAGTAGATGATAATACAGTAGATGATAATACAGTAGATGATAATTACAGTAGATGATAATACAGTAGATGATAATACAGTAGATAATAATACAGTAGATGATAATACAGTAGATGATAATTACAGTAGATGATAATTACAGTAGATGATAATACAGTAGATGATAATACAGTAGATGATAATACAGTAGATGATAATATAGTAGATGATAATACAGTAGATGATAATACAGTAGATGATAATACAGTGTGCCAAAAAAAAAGGTAAGACGATGAATAGAAATTCACACATATAAGTAAAGAAAACTCTATCAAGAATAACACACTCTAAAGATAACTCCAGCCTGTCGTCCCGTAAAGTAAAATATCTCCTGATAAATATGCTCTTTGCTTTTTATAGTCAATTCTACTAATGCATCTTGAACCGCCCTACAGTTTGCTCCAGACATTTCTACAAGAATCTCGTAGGTACAGACTATTAATTTTATTTGGGTCAAGAGACTATTTTGAGCTAGTCACACCTTAAATGTGGTTTTGGGTTTGTTTGTTGGATTCCAGAGTTCACAGCACAGGGGAATTATGACGTAAACACGTCGTCTACTTAACAATGTATTCAAGTAACGCCCTTTATACGAATCCTACTTAGTGCTCCCCTCCTTCATCCCGTCTCTCTCTCTCTCTCTCTCTCTCTCTCTCTCATTTTTTGCGCACTCAAAATATCTTAATATTCTAATGACCCACCCGCCTTAACACCACAGACTTATTTTAAAAAACTATTTCATAAAAACAAATAAAATGTTACGCACTTGTGATACGTTTGTTCTAAGAATCTCGTTTAGTTTAGTTATCGGAAATTCACCTTCATGATCCCCTCGAAAACAAGAAAAAAAAATAATTTTCGGGAGGTTGGGGATGAGGCGGAACATCTGAAAGAATGTGTTGTCGTCGGCATCTTCCATGGACACTTCCGTTACCTGTGGTGCGCCACAGGGCTCAGTTTTAGGACCTATTCTGTTCTCCATGTACACTAGCCAGCTCGGCAAAATTATTGAAAGTCATGGTATTTCCCGCAAAATATTTCCAGATGGCACAGAACTATACAAGTGTTTCAGCCCTGATCCCTTGGAGTGTGCTACTGCTGTTCAGGCTGTCGAGGACTGCTGTCTTGCTGTGAACGATCGGATGTCATCAAACAGACTAAAATTAAATAATGATAAGACTGAGGCAATTATTCGTAGTTCAGACGCCAATCTTTGGAAAGTTACCATTGCAGCAATAAAAGTTGGTGAATCAGTGATCCTTTTGTCCTCGACTGTCAGAGACCTTGGCTTTTATATTGACAGTAAACTTAGTATGATTCCCCATATCAGTTCTGTTGTCAAGACATGCTTCGGTCATCTGCGTGCCCTGGGTCAGCTGCGTCCTCATCTCAATAGGAGAACAGCCAATGATGTAGCAGTAACTCTGATCCAGTCAAGATTAGATTACTGGAATAGTTGTTTATGGGGTTTACCTCAGAATCAAATTCAGCGACTCCAAAAGATTCAAAATACCGCAGCACGCATTGTATCGCGGATGAAGAAATCTGACCACATCACCCCAGTTCTACGCGATCTCCATTGGGTTCCTGTGAGTGAGCGCATTAACTACAAAATTCTGTCCCTGGCATACAGCTGCATAGATGGCTCTGCACCGAAATATCTCAAGTAACTTATTAATAAACATGTATCCTTGGTCTTCAACACAGTACTTACTGAGTGTTCCTAGTGTCGATGAACAAAGAAAAAAGTCTTACCGAGTGCGCACTTTTGAAGCGATAGCGCCAAAATTATGGAACAGTTTGCCTCAATCTTTCAGGGGCATTGTAAATGATAAAATATCATTTAAGAAACAATTAAAAACTTTTTTGTTTAAATAGATGTCGGAGGACCAGAGCGCAGTGAGCATGCTAGAGTGGCATGGATACCAGCGCGATATAAATATCAAATCAATCAATCAAACGAGTTTATGTACCCAGTTTAAGCTCGATAGCTTGACGTTATCGGGGTTAATTAGCCATCCGAAGCTATCATAAGGAAGTTAAGATAAGGATTTAACAACATCCGTTCAGACACGTAAGAAAATATCCTATGATCTCCGCACAGTCGAATAATCATTGTAATCATTGTAATCATTGTAATCATTGTAATCATTGTAATCATTGTAATCTTTGAAAAGATGAGAAACTTTGCGACGTGCCCACTGTGCTTTATGGTAGTCATGGTGAATGTCAGTATCCTTATAAGTCACTTATCGTTTAAAATTATCAGCACTACAAAGCTGACTAAAAGAAATAATCATCTCTGTATAAGTCATTTATTATCCTTTAGAAGCTATCGGTGATGCACAGCTGACTAAAAGAATCCCTCAACATCTTTTGCACAAATCCTCACTGTCTGCACGTGACCGCACCTCCAGTGAGCGCACCAGCCAAAGAAGGGGGGACCTACCACAATGCAAAACAAAGTAAATATTTGTACACTTTCCATACTTCACTTTGGATCTATTCTTTTTTTTTTTTTATAAGCGTAACCCACTTCCCTAACAGTATTGTTACAGTTGGTTCAGTTACACTGTCCTCTTGTTTCAGTTGGGCCATTTGATTCAAGAGTGAATCCATCAAGTTAAAAGCAAACCCAGGACTCGTAATTCTGTCTGTCACTCAGCTCTGTTTATCGATACTGATAATATTAAGTATGTGGGGGGGGGGGAGATAGAGTTAGAGAGAGAGAAAGAGAGAGAGAGAGAGAGAGAGAGAGAGAGAGAGAGAGAGGGGAGAGGGAGAGAGAGATAATGAAATTCAATTTATATATAGTCTAAAAGCACAGGATAAGCAAAGATTTTCAGCCCAGATATTTTCTGTCGACTATTGCTCTGCATTTTAACCCAGACAATGTCTGTCAACTATTGCTCTACGTTTGAACCCAGACAATGTCTGTCACCTATTGATCTACATTTAAACCCAGACAATGTCTGTCAACTATTGCTCTACATTTAAACCCAGACAATGTCTGTCAACTATTGCTCTACATTTAAACCCAGACAATATCTTTCAACTATTGCTCTACGTTTGAACCCAGACAATGTCTGTCACCTATTGCTCTACATTTCAATCCAGACAATGTCTGTCAACTATTGCTCTACATTTCAATCCAGTCAATGTCTGTCACCTATTGCTCTACATTTCAATTCAGTCAATGTATGTCACCTATTGCTCTACATTTCAACCCAGACAATGTCTGTCATCTATAGCTCTACATTTCAACCCAGACAATGTATGTCATCTATTGCTCTACATTTCAAACCATAAAGTGTCTGTCATCTATTGATCAACATTTCAACCCAGAAAATGTCTGTCATCTATTGCTCAACATTTCAACCCAGAAAATGTCTGTCATCTATTGCTCAACATTTCAACCCAGAAAATGTATGTCATCTATTGCTCAACATTTCAACCCAGAAATGTCTGTCATCTATTGTTCGCCACTGATCGCGGGTGTGTTGGCCTTGAGACCAGCTGTTTCTCATTGGTACTATGTTGCGACACGCTACACCAAATTGCTTTAAAATTCTGCAACAAAAAATTCAAAGTTGTACAATAAATATGATCTGTTTCTAGGATGTTTCCGAGCAATTGATTACACAATTAGATTATAGGATTAAAATAATTGCAATGACAATAAGATTATAAGATAAGACTGTCGCTTAATATATTTTAATTTGAAATGAATATACTGAGACTGGAGTGTTTATCCAGTATCTGAAGTACAACCAGCAAGGGGGAATAGCCAATATCCGGGATTAAACCTCTGTGGGACAATATCCTTTATCCAAGGTAACAACTGTATGGAATAATATCCATCATCCAGCGTAGAAACTACGTGAAGCAATATCCATTATCCAGGGTCACATTAACATGAGAATATCTGAAACGTAAACTATGCGTTATCCATGGTCCCGTCCGAAATACATAATATCCATTATCCGGTATACACACCATCCAATGTTGTTCTTTAAATAGCTCGGCCAGTGCTGAGCTCCCGTCGTCTGCTAAACAGCGGTCACCGTTTTAAAGCACCAGGGAGCAGACGTGCGAACCACCCAATCAGCATGGCGGCATGTAGAGAGTCCCTGGCCACGTGTGAGAACCCCGAATTCCCCAACTGGATGTGGCGCTACAACAGGAACAAACGCCTTCCCCGCTTCGAACCCTGGTTCACTAGGTGAGTTGCGGCCTGAGAACCGATTTTCTGGTGTCCATTAAAGGTTACACGCATTTGGCAATAAACGTTCTACTTTGCGGTTCTTGAATGTGCTCTGTTCAATTCTTGAATGTGCTCTGTTCAATTCTTGAATGTGCTCTGTTCAAATCTTGAATGTGCTCTGTTCAATTCTTGAATGTGCTCTTTTCAATTCTTGAATGTGCTCTGTTCAATTCTTGAATGTGCTCTGTTCAAATCTTGAATGTGCTCTGTTCAAATCTTGAATGTGCTCTGTTCAAATCTTGAATGTGCTCTGTTCAATTCTTGAATGTGCTCTGTTCAATTCTTGAATGTGCTCGGTTCAATTCTTGAATGTGCTCGGTTCAATTCTTGAATGTGCTCTGTTCAAGTAGCGCACTCGATTACAAATTTCACTACATATATCTTTTTTTTATTATAAAATCATTTGATAAAGTGTTGGTTGAGTTACTGTTAAAAATATTAAAATGCCTCTTTCGGCTTTTTTTTCCGTGCAGCTCAATACGAACCAGAGATATTATTATTTCATGATACTCCCATACTAAGTTGAATCTGTTCATCATCTATATGAAGTTTTATAAAAGATGGGCTCTAGCCAAAAATTTTAAGATTGGTAAAAGCAGTATTTTGCTTCACTCTTAGATTGAAACTGATCGAGCCAAAAAAAAATAATATTTTGTTTGTCTTATTGTAGACTTGAAAGATGGCCGCCGCAATACCGGAACATGGGCATGCACGACAACTTCCGGTTCCATCCCGTTGGACCAAACGAGCAGGAGAGACCGTTCCTCCATCTTGGAGTCAACTACGCACATGACCTGCTCCTGGACAGGAAAGGCGGATTCGGAAACAGCGCGTTGGGTTTCACGCCAGGGCCGGCGCCCCCAAGGTTAAACACATTTGAAAAACTTCACCCTGTCTTAGAAACTCTTAATTACTGCGTCTTAACCGGGTGCAGTTTTGTTACATCGGGTCCGGGTATTTTGAGTAAATACCCCTTGGGTGAAAGTGTTACCAAAAAAAAAAAAGACTCAACTTCTGACAACCCTAAAGACAGCCTTACACACAGTCTTAAAGACAGCCCTACAGACATCCCTACCCTACAGACAGCCCTACAGACAGCCCTACACACAGTCCTAAAGACAGCCCTATAGACAACCCTACAGACAGACCACCACACACCAGTGATCGTCCAATGGCGCCCTTTCCTAGACATAGAAACACATAGTCCTATTTCCCGCAGGCTCGTGGTTTACGAAGTGGACAATCCCTACCCACGCGATGACCTGTACAAAGTCAACGAGATCCACAACATATCCCCGGGAATGTCCCTTTTAGATCACACTTACCTGCCTTTCCCTGAAACCGATTACACACGAGAACCGCTTAATCCAAGGTGAGTGGGAACTAGAGGGCGACCACCGATGTGGTTCCGGTGCATAGCATTGATGTGGTGCAGTAGATGGCATTACACCATCGTGGTGCAGTAGATGGCATTACACCATTGTGGTGCAGTAGATGGCATTACACCATTGTGGTGCAGTACATGGCATTACACCATTGTGGGGCAGTACATGGCATTACACCATCGTGGTGCAGTACATGGCATTACACCATTGTGGGGCAGTACATGGCATTACACCATTGTGGTGCAGTACATGGCATTCCACCATAGGGGTGCTCTCCACAACATTGACGTGGTTCAGTCCATGGCAACATTTTTTGGAGATCTTGGGCTTGGCGCAGACGAACGTTTACTGTGGCTCGACGGAATTGAAATTCTCCATTAACTCTTATTGAGCAGGAAATAGTGCAGACGTTTCTCTAAATGTGTGACCTCCGCTAGCAACTGCAGAGGTAGTCGTAGCTAGCAACTGCAGAGGTACTCGTAGCTAGTAACTGCAGCGGTAGTCGTAGCTAGTAACTGCAGAGGTAGACGCAGCTAGTAACTGCAGAGGTACTCGTAGCTAGCAACTGCAGAGGTAGCTGTAGCAAACGCTACACTTTCTTTTTTAAGGGTTGACTGCTTCGATATGCAACTTGCCAGATAGCGTAAATCCTCAACATAGCAAGATGTGTGTGCAAGGCAAGATGTATGTACGTAGCAAGATGTGTGTACATGACAAGATGTGTGTACGTTGCCAGATGTGTATACGTGGCAAAATGGGTGTGTATGGCAAGATGTGTGTGTATGGCAAGCTGTGTGTACATGGCCAGATGTGTGTACATAGTCAGATGTGTGTACATGGCAAGATGTGTGTACAAGGCAAGATGTGTGTACATGGCAAGATGTGTGTACAAGGCAAGATGTGTGTACGTGGCAAGATGTGTGTCCAAGGCAAGATGTGTGTACGTGGCAAGATGTGTGTACTTAGTAGGATGTGTGTATGACAAGGCACATAATAATAATATCTGCAATGTGGAGTAAAAACTTTGGTAGAGAAGGGACCCTGTCATTTAATTGCACATGGTGACGCCTGTAATAAAATCACGTGATGTGTTCATAAATTTAATTGGTCTCATTCCCCTGATTGTTCCGTTATATAGTATAATTGTTGTTGTTTAATCCGTGCTGTTCCTCCAGACAATATCTAGAGAAGACCTTGGGTCAAGCCATGGAGCACCCCGGCACGTTCCCCCACTTCAACATGCCGTCCAGCGGCGCCACCGGCCGGCTGTGCGGTGCCGCGACCTGCGGTTCGATCGACCCCATGGAGGTGTGGCTGGACAAGCACAGGAAGCGGGAGGCCGAGCAGGCCCTGGAGAGATACCTGAGATCTCGCCCGTAAGGAGACCTGTCCGTTGGATAAAAGACAGTCTAGTGCAGTGGTCGGCAAACTCATTAGTCACAAGAGCCAAAAATTAGAAGCGGGACGGTTAAAATATTTCCGAGAGCCAAATTTCTTGTCGAGAACCATGTTTTTCGGGGCCAAAACCGATTTGTGGTCAACTGGCCGAGCCGCACTCAGTTCGCTAAAAGAGCCGCGCGCGGTTTTCCGACCACTGTTCTAATGGGATTGTCTAGCAGTTACTACAACATGCCAGTCGTATATCCATGGAAATAAAGATTGTGGGCGCGGGGTGGGGGAAGGGCAATGTTCCCTTTAAGCTGCGCGGCTGCACGGCTGCACGGCCGCGCAGCTATCTCACAAACGCCGCGCAGCAGTTTTGAGCATCCGCGCAGCTAATTTCCATGTGCGTGTTTGTGTTTGTAGGATGTAAAATTGTGCACACCAAAAAAAAAGTGATGCTTTAAAACTTTGCACACAACTGTATGATTTTGCACACGAACCAGCAAACCTTAGAGGGAACATTGGTGGGGGGGGGGGGCGGGGGTTAAAATTTTCTAAACCAAAAACTACTTTTTGTTAATGTAAGATTTTCGGGGCATTTTTTTTTTTTCCTTAAAGGTAAGAAAAGAACGAGGAATGGGTAGTGCACACCAAAAAAAAAGTGATGCTTTAAAACTTTGCACACAACTGTATGATTTTGCACACGAACCAGCAAACCTTAGAGGGAACATTGGTGGGGGGGGGGGGCTGGGGTTAAATATTTCTAAACCAAAAACTACTTTTTGTTAATGTAAGATTTTCGTGGCATTTCTTTTCTATCCTATAAGGTAAGAAAAGAACGAGGAATGGGTTGGGGAGTCTTTATTTTGATATAATTTTGTTTTAGATGAGAGATTTGTTTCCTGGGCTGTGTGTGGCCTTTCAAAAATTTTGTTTCGCTTAACTCAATGTTTGGTTGTTGTTTTTTTTATTTCTTAGATAAAAGTACAATGTATGTTGTTTTTCATGTTAAAAATTCAAATTAAGCTAGGATTCAAACCGGCTACGAAATAGATTGAAACTTGTGTGCGCCAGTCATGAGAAAACAATACGGATATTTCGTTTCCTGAAAGTTTAAGTCAGTGCACACTCGGGCGTGCAACATTGCGATACAACGTCTGGCATCATGCAGTATGGCTTGCTTGACAAATGGAGGTCCAACATTTAAAAAAAAAATAATTTCAAATGTGAGCTCTAATTTCTCATGTCATTGAATTCATGACATTGACCAAGACCATCATGTAAAGCCCCCCACCCCCTCCCCCACTTCCCTACCGTACACAGAAGGTCAATCCTGTCTCTCCATTAGCCCCTGCCTCTCACTGTCTCCTCAACATCCCGGACATGCCACATTCACACCGGTACAGAAGAACTGCTGGCATCCAGGGCTTGACAGCAGATCAGGGGGGTCGGCAGCCCGTTGGTAACATTGTGCCGTAGTGGGAGCTTCTAATGCATGCGGTGTGGCCACAAGTCTACTTTTTAAAATCCATTTATATTAACTTCGCTATTGTTTCGTGTGTTTCTGGCTGGCAAAAATCTTCGGACGGATAATTGACCCACTTCTCGTCAACCTATCTTGCTGAAACTTTGCACATAGATTCAATGCCAGTGATAATACACTCTTTGAAATTCTCAGCCTCACCCCCCCCCCCCTTCCCCCCCCAAACCTTAACACCCAAAAAATCAGTTTGTCCTGTTTTTCAAGGGGAGGATGAAGAAAATATGATGACACTGATTTCCCGGTTTCTGAGCTAAGTGAAATTCGTAACAATATCGCGAGTGCGTTTGGTGCGAAATATTTTCTTTCGTTTTTCTGAAATCGTTGGAGAAATAAATCTGCGGTGTCAAAGCTGGTGGGACACTAGAATATTGATATAAACTAAAATTATTTTAAAAAAATGCGTATAAAGGATTTATACGAACAACCTCGTTCTCTAGGGTTTGTTTACTTTTTGACACATTTATTTAACGGCTATTTTTATTTTGATGCCTTGACCATGACCCTGAAAATCACTCTGCATACCAAGTCCTGCACGATGCAATATTTGTTTCGTAAAAGTATTGCTCGCTCCTACAAACATGATACATTTTTACTTTATCGTACCAAACGATTCCAAATTTACTGCGGAGCACCTAAACACACACGTCATCCAAACACACACGTCATCCAAACACACACATCCAAAGACACACATACACTCCAACCCTACGTTTCTAACTTTTGAAATACCTACAATTTTTTCAAAGGAGAGTCACAAATTTACGACAATGTAGCTCGCATTTATAAATCTAATTCACTATGTCTAGGTTGGAGGAACAATGTGTAAATATTAAATCAAACTAAATTATCCCCCCCCCCGGCCCCCGATTTTCTCCCCCTAGGCAACGTGTACCCATGATGCTCGAGGGGTGCAGTTTTGAAGACCGCCTCGTTCCTGACTTTGAAGACATGAGGGCACCGATATACAAGGTCGGAGTTCATCAGTGCGCGATGGCTCCAAGGAAAATATACTAAACCGCTGAAGTTTATGGCCTTAGGTTGTGCCCCGTGTTGCCAATCCGATGGGTTGATCCACTTAATCCTAACCCATTTGTTAATCCACGTTATACCAACCGATGGATTGATTCACTTAATCCTAACCCATGTGTTAATCCACGTTATACCAACCGATGGATTAAACCACTTAATCCTAACCCATGTGTTAACCCACGTTATACCAAACGATGGATTGATCCACTGAATCCTATACGATGTCTGAACCCATGCCAGTCTAAACACATGGTTTGCTGTTTTACAGTGTCCGACCCGTAGGTTGCTAGACGGAATTCCAGCCCATGGGTTCTTCCACGTTATCCAACGGATGGATTCATCCACATTATTCCAGTCCATGGGTTCTTCCACGTTATCCAACCCATGGATTCATCCACATAGTCCCAAACCCATAGATTAATCCACGCCATCCCCACATATGGAATGATCCACGTTATCCTGCCCATGGGCTAATCCACTTCATCCCAACCCATGAGATAATCCACGCAATCCCAGCTGCACGTCAATCCGTTTGGTTGATTAAGGAGTACCCCCACCCACCCCCACCCCCACCCCCTCCCCCTTACAAAAAAAAAGGAATAATAAACATAATGTGTAATTTCACTTTCCCTGAGCAGATCAATAGTCCAAAGGGGACATCATCATGTCATTTTGTCCAGCTTGTATACTAGATTAGTAGTGTGTGTGTGTGGAAACTTAGAATGAAAGAGAAAGAGTTCACAAAATGACCACGAATCTAAATTATTATTTTTTTTAAACTTCTTTTTTTTTTTTTTTTTAAATTTGGATCAGTAGTTCACGTTACGTGATATACTAGACATTGGATCTAAAAATAGTTTATTTTTAAAAATGATACTCATTTTTTTAAACTTCTTTTTTTTTTTTTTTTTAAATTTGGATCAGTAGTTCACGTTACGTGATATACTAGACATTGGATCTAAAAATAGTTTATCTTTAAAAATGATACTCCCACTGTAGTCATTGGACCCCTGGAAAAAAACAAAAAACAAACACAAAACTCAAGCTTAACTCTTACAAGTAAACTTTGTTTTATCTATGAATGTATATATACATTTTAAACTAAACATCTGATCGGATATTGTTTCAAAGAAATACAGATCGATATGTGAAACAGAAATTGAAAATGTTGTTTATTCATTTTTATTAGTTGTTGCTGTTGTTGATGTTGTTGATGTTGTTGTTGATGTTGTTGTTGTTGTTGATGTTGTTGATGTCGTTGTTGTTGATGTTGTTGTTGATGTTGTTGATGGTGTTGTTGCTGTTGTTGTTGCTGTTGTTGTTGCTGTTGTTGTTGATGTTGTTGTTGATGTTGTAGCTGTTGTTGTTATTGTTTTTGATGTAGTTGTTACTGTTGTTGTATGCTATAAACCCTCTTGGTACTGCGTACTTGATTTAGCTATGAGAGACACTACGATTTTGATAAATCGACCAACAATGTCAATTGGGATCCTTTAACCATTGGGCATGGCACTGGCAAATCCTTCGTGGCAACTTTATTCCTTGTTCCAGAGGAATGCCTGGAATAGATGAATGCCTGGAATAGAGGAATGTCTGGAATAGATGAATGGCTGGAATAGAGGAATGTCTGGAATATAGGAATTTCTGGAATAGAGGAATTTCTGGTAAAGAGGAATATTTGGAAAAGATGAATGTCTGGAATAGAGGAATGTCTGGAATATAGGAATTTCTAGAATAGAGGAATTTCTGGTAAAGAGGAATATTTGGAAAAGATGAATGCCTGGAATAGATTAATGCCTGGAATAGAGCAATGTCTGGAATATAGGAATTTCTGGAATAGAGGAATTTCTTGTAAAGAGGAATATTCGGAAAAGATGAATGTCTGGAATAGAGGAATGTCTTGGAATAAAGGATCTGGAATATGGGAATGTCTGGAATAGAGCAATGTTTGGAATATAGGAATTTCTGGAATAGAGGAATGTCTAGAATAGAGGAATGTCCAGAATATAGGAATTTCTAGGATATAGGAATGTCTTGAATGGATGCATTTCTAGAACAGAAGAATTTTTGGAATAGATGAAATCTGAGATAAAGGAATGTCTGGAATAGATGAATGTATGGAATAGAGGAATGTCTGGCCACTAAAATTGCAAGCTCACATGAAAAAAGATTCAAGAATTTCTCGATTTCTGTCCAAGAAATGTAAACTTTTACATTTTTTTTTAAAGACTAATAACCCCTGGCGTAGTAAGGGGGTGAGGGGGGTGCGATCCTCCCCGGGCGTCACTTTTCAAAACATTCTTTTTATGGAGGGGCGGCGGTTTCGGCCAACTGCAGGGTGTTTTTCGCGGAAGGGGGCGGCAAATTTGCGGTGGGCCGCGGTATTCTGGGAAGGGTGCATGTGTGCCGCCTCACACTGGGAAGG